CCAAGGGCACAAGGTACACCAAGACCAGGAGGGTCTTGGTCTTTGCTGCAGCAGCCAGTTGGAGGAGAGAGGGGGCTGAGATCGTGATCAGCCCCCAGCAGCACTTCTGCAGATGTGTAGATGGAGGGTCTGCTGTGTGAGCAGGCCCTCTCCACTGTACAGCAGCCCCCTAAGCAGGGGGGTCTTCAGCCACGTGGCCGTGGCGCACGTCCTCTCCGGCAAGATGAGAGAGAGAGAGAGAGAGAGAGAGAGAGAGAGAGAGAGAGAGAGAGAGAGAGAGAGAGAGAGAGAGAGAGAGAGAGAGTCTTCCTCAATCGTCATCATCAGATGAGTCATCCCGTGACGATGGATTTGTGGAAACTGCCACTCGTGCAGGGGTGCCGCTCCCCGGCAGGTCCAGAACATCCGACGAGGACTCCAGGGACATGGTCGCTTAGGTTATCCGATAGTTCCCTCAAGCTGCGGAGAATCTCTCTTTTCTCCTCGCAAAGATACAAAAAAGACAGGCAGTAGGTATCTCAGCGCTGCCAGATGCTAGGCTGAAGGCTGTGTTGGAGCGACTCTTTGTGAGCTTAGGAATGAAGAAGAAGTCTAACTTGCCTTGGGAGGCTGGGGTGTATTGTCATCGGAGGAGAGCTTAGGTGTCCGAGGATGAAAAACTGTTTGAGGATTCGTGTGCGGCGTGCCGTAATGGTGGATGGATGGGGGCAAAGGAGGGAAGAAGGCGGTGAGAAGGACAAGGAAAATGGTGGCCATCGTGGGGTAAGGGGGGTATGTGCTGCACAGTTGGGACCAGGTGCAACCATGTCCAAGAGGGAGAGGGAGGAAGGAATGAGAAGGCCAGAGGGTACAGATGGGTCACAGGGCAGCAAGGCTGCAGGTAGTGGTGAATCCATGGTTATGGATGAATGTACCCACGATGATGGAGTGCAGTTGCGCGGGCAAGGAAAAGAGATGGAGGAGACATGGAAAAGACGGATAACCTTTGTCAGCAGCACGTCAGAGTGTCAGCGTATGCAGCTGCGCGGTCAAGCACCAGTGCTGCATTACTGCAGATGCACCAGTCCTGAGTGTGCTCAGGTCTGAAGAGGAGGTAAGGGGAGGGATGATGCGACCACAGTTCCCCAGGGTCCCACTTTGCCTCCTGACATTCCTATGGATGATTGTGTTCCCGACTCTAGAGAGGATCCAATTGCGGCCATCGAAAGAAACAGCAGAAGGGATTGTTAAGATTGGCACAGCAGAGAGACCTGCCCCCGACCTCACAACGAAAAGCGTAATTGGCCCTGCCATGCGTCCATCCGCTCTTTTTGAGGCTGCAGCTTGGCTTCCTATGGATGATTGTGCTCCCGACTCTAGAGAAGATCCAATTGCCGCCATCGAAAGAGACAGCAGAAGGGATTGTTGAGATTGGCCCAGCAGAGAGACCTGCCCCCGACCACACAACGAAGCGCGTAATTGGCCCTGCCATGGCTCCATCCGCTGTTGTTGAGTGAGGCTGCAGCTCGTCTTACAGAAGCATAAAAGGCCCTTCAGGCTGAACTCGATGAGAGTGACCTCTGAATCTCTGATTGGTCCCGCTCCTCCAGCTTCTGTCAAGGATGCTGAAAATGCGACCGAAGAGGAGCAGTTTTCTGAAGTCGCAAGGATTATGTCCTTAGGCTCAAACCAACACGAGCTACTGGGTGTTGCCAGTGATGCCTCGGCAACGGAGATCAAGAAGTAAGTATTGGAAGCTGTCGTCGCTCATCCACCCGGGTAACTGCGCCCATCGCGAGCTCAAGAGGCATTTGCATTGCTGAACAAGCCGCATCTGGACCTGCAGGATCCTGCTAAGCGTGCTGTGATAGACAAGAAGATAGACGAGCAGCGAAGCCGTGAGGAGTTTCAGGCAGAATTGAAGAGGCTACGGGAAGCAGCAGCTCAGTCGAGGAGAGTCCGAGGACAGGCACTTCCTGGTGATGCCAACTTTGCTAGTAGGAGAAAGTATTGGTGCTGAAGCAGGTGGCGAAGCGCTGGATCGCGACAGCTGGATGACAGAGCTTCCGCCTGAGCGATCAGCGGGTTATGTCCCAACACAATCCATGTTTTTTTCAGTAAAGGAGGGAAGAGTGAGAGGGGTGACACCTCAGCCTGGACTGACACTCCAGGGCAACGGATGAACAAAGCACAACAGATGTACCTGGAGGCCTATCAGCAAGCATCGATTGATGCACCTGCAAACTTCACACCAATGGACCAGGTCCAATGGAAGCTGCCGAAACAGAAAAAAGACAGCACATCTGGTTGATCGGTTCAATCGCAGGAACAGGAAAAATAGACCACTTGTTGACAAGCATCAGGATGAGATGAAGCCAACGAGGAAGAAGAAGAAGAAGAAGAAGAAGAAGAAGAAAGAAGAAGAAAGAAGAAGACTAGTGAGATGGCAGATGAGGAGTGGGTCGGGAAGCACCCGCGGAAGCTTTGGGATCGAGAGAAGGATCTAGTGATTGGGCCAAAGACAATGTCTTGGGACAAGAAACAAGCAGGCCGGCTCTCTGGCTGCTTGGTTTGGCTCTGACGAGCCAAGATAGAGACATTTTCTTTAGTGGTGGCTGTGGTGGTGATGGATGCGATGCGATGCGATACAGGCAGAATGCGTGCTGATGATGTAATTAAGTGACAGTCAGTGATTTTGAGTTAAACGCGTGTCTTTCACTTTTATCTTGTTCTGGTCTTACTTATCTTTGGTCTTGTCCTTCAGGCCGGTTTTGTTTTGGGTCGATCATCTCACATGACAAGTAATCCACTTTGTGCCGAGGATAATCATTTGGCTGGAAGTATTGGAGCCCCATGAGGTTTAAACCACCTCCTCATTTGGACCCCTGACCTGCCGACGCTAACGTAAATCCAGGCCCCCTAACACAGTCACTGCTTTGAGGAAATGCAGGCCCGGTACTGTACGCCGTGTACGGGTTGGTAGCTCCTAGCGGTGTGTGTGTGTGTGTGTGTGTGTGTGTGTGTGTGTGTGTGTGTTTTAGATTTTCCCCACAACAGCCCCAATTCCACCCAGGTGAATAGATTCAGAATCAAAGCAGTCTTTGTCCTATTGCAAACAACGAGAGCATTTGAGATGTCCAACATATTAAAGCAATTTTATAATTAGACAGTTTTTTGGTTGTCCTTAACGCTGTCACTGCTTTTAGCCTTTGAGGAAATGAAAGGCCCTCCTATGCAGTGGTGGTCTAGACTAAGGAAAAGCATTACACGAGAGGAGATGGTTCTAGGTAGATCCGAGTTTGAACTTAGGTCCTCTCGTGCATTCTCTTGTTTGCAAAGGCTGGTATGTCGCAACACAATTTTTTTTTTTTTTTTCTGTACGTTGCTAAACACTGTTCTTCCCCCCCCCCCCCATCCTTTTCTTTTATAGGAAAACGACGACAGCCTTGAGGTATCATCACACAGAATTGACCGGCCAAGTCAGAGTTCGAACTCAGGTCTATTAAACTCTATTTATCAACAGTAACATTCAGTCTGATGGACTGACTGGGTCGTTCTTTTGGCAGAAGGCAGCATACAAATAGTTTCAGTGCCCTGCTTTCGGTGCTTTAGAATACAATTTTTTGATTTTTTTTTTCAGTAAATCCAAGCTCGAACTCTGGTAATACAGTGCACTGAGAGAGAGCAGTGCAATGTATTACCTCTGTACATGGTTTTGTCTTATTCTTACCTACCATGCCATCATGCTGATGCAGTGATCCTCTCTGTTCCTGATGATGTGAATTGGCAACACTGCTCGTCTGCTGATTATTGATCGGCAGTGTGGTGACTGTCTGCAAAACGATCCGTATATGATCCCTGCTGTTCCATCTTCGGAAGGGACTATGCAGATTGTTCTTGCATGAGGAACCCATTGGCCTGACCGCTCCTCGGATTGTGCCAGTAAAAAGGGGGTGAAGGGGAGTCGTTTAGCAGCTTGG